TCGAGAAAGTGCTGCAACAATAAGGTATTCTAATTCTGTTTTTCAGAGTGAGGGACCAAATCCTGAGCGGAAAAGATAGCTCATAAACTGCAAATTCTCTTAAAAACTGAATTTACTCTCACCATGCTTCGCTGGAATTAGGCGACAAATTGGTAGCAAGTCTGAAACCTTCATATGCTGTGGCCATGACAGAAACGTCAACTTGTCGTCATGCAGCCTGATATGCATACCTTCTGGCTGCAATTACTCGAAAGCCTTCTGATAACTCATTGTACCAACCCGAGCGTAATATTTAAATTTGAGAAAATTAAGAATTGCTAGCAATTAACACGAAGGTTGACACTGCATTGTCGATAAACCAACTGTCACCCCTGTCGTACATACCAAACGACAGCTAAACATGCGCCAAAAATTCATACCATAGAGAGCATACTATCAAGCAGAACTAAACGATTTTGTGAGGAAGGAAATTCGGAAAACTCTACAACAGACACGACACTCAATATATCAAGTAATGCACCATAATGATTTAGACTGCTGAAAGCCGTGCTGATAATATCACGGAAAGAACTCATCGAACTCGTCAAATTCCCAACTGCAGCAAACGGGCCAATGAATACAACATTTTCGAGATCACAATGCGTGTTAATCTCGGTCAGTGACAGTAGCAGCACAACTGCCTAAGAAAGAACTATAGCGAAAATGGGCCCCCGCGCCACGTAAGGCCATAGGAATAAAGAAATCAGTCAGAACAATGAAAATGAAGGTCTGCCATAAAAATGGTGCAATCAGGGAAGTTTTGCAATTCAAATACTTCGGCACCGTAAACTTATGCGGTATGCTTTAGAAGCAGACATGTAAAGAAAGGTAGCCAAATATAACGCGGACGAAAGGACTACGAGAAGTGAATTAATTGTCATAGACAGCAGGGCGCAATCCTTTCACCACGTCACATCCCGTCTGAACAGTTTATGGTAGCTCAACTGTGGTATTAAAAGAAGATCCATATGTCGTTCAGTGGTGAATATCAGTAAATGGAGATAACAGCTCATGATACAAATCACTAAGACATCTTACACATGAGCTGCCTTGTATTTAACGCTCTAATTCCTTGATCTAGTGATTTCTGGCGGTGTCGCAGAGTGCAGTCTAACTACGGCAATAACCACTAGTCTAAGAAAAACAAAGGCCATCTACAGATCGAGGTATATCAGTATATTTTCAAAAATGGAATCAAAGGTCTGTAATCTTTGTTTCAGCGCGCTTTTCAAAATTTTAGTAACGTTAACTCGTAAATGATACTGTTCGATACAAAATCGCTCTTTTCCTGTTTGGTCATTTTATTTTTTCCCGCTTCTACAGTGCTCTTGTCACTGGTTCATATAATTATTTATTTCTCCGGTAGTTTCATTTGCTTGCAGTTTTACGTCAGGTCACTGAATTGCTGAATTTTTCTGTAAATCTGTAGAATTTGTCCATCGTTGGCAAAAAATCGGCAAGTGTAACACTGAAGACACTGTCTGACACGTCTGCCGAAAGAATAAGCGGTCACCGAAACTGACAGACTTGGAGACATCAACTATGTTGGCATGTTATGCAAAGTTTTTAACTGACTAACTAAGGATTTTGTGTTTTGCCAAAAAAATGAATTCTTTTTGCAATTACGATAAAAATTTTCATTTACTATTTATGATTTTTGGAGAGCCCAGAAAGAAATTGGGCAAAACGTAGCCCGAATTGCATGCCACGTCATCACTCCATTGTAACAACAGTAGCGTTTATTGTATCTTCTTTTATTTTAATCTCCTTCCCTTTGCCTCAACTTCCTCCACATTCTTTAGTGCCCAGAAAAACTTTCGATGACTCAACGCAGTTCCGTCTCCAACATCGTTCGGCATTTTTCGTCTTCTTCATATCTTCTCCAGAGTATAGAAGTTTGGATAACATTTCTCAGTGCACATCAGTGCTTCTTTAAAAGCGCCAAACCAATCAAGACAGCTTTCGATCAATCTGCCTGCTACTGGAGCTACAATTAATGTTTGTTCATGAAGTTATTACGTGCGTGGTCCTGCTGCTGCCATCACATGTCTGTTGAAGCATTCGAAACTCCATAGAATTCAGTTCTTGCTCAGAAAGTGACTAAATGTTCAGTTCCAAACAGAAGTAAGGTCATCTGCCGTTAAAACGATCTGTTCCTCAGTCTGATATCCATCTTGTTTTGAAAAAATACTGCGCTAGACAACATTTGAATTACGTGAATTTCTCGACAGATCTGATTCGATCTTTGTTACCTAGTTATTATTCATGGTGAAGGGAGGCACTGGAATGCTAGGGTCTGTTATTATTATTATTATTGTTATTATTAAATACCCGACAGCAGGAAATAGAACGCTTTATGATGCTTTACGACATCGCTTACCTTGAACTGGTTTTCAGCAGGAACCAATCCGATTTCAACGTCGCAAAGTGACTGCAAGATACTCTAAAGAAAACAGTTAGCAGCCCGTGTAACGTCGATCCTTTTAACTAACGTACGACGACATATTCTTGACAATGCTGATGCGGCTCTTCAGTGGAAACGCAGTTGAGTATTTTCAAAAAGTACGACAATATGCGATTAAACGAATGCCCTTCGCCGCTACTTAAAGAAATCGTTAGTCTAGGAAGCCGACTCATAAGTTCAAAAACCGCAATTAACTTACGACTGCAACAGATTCAACAACACAACTTTGAAAGGGCCATGCGATGACAAAAAAGATATCAGATTGAGTACGTAGGCCAACTCGGACGGAGCTGGAAGCTTCAGACGGTTAGGTTGCTGTTCACGGTTCGCCTCCATTATTTCTAGATCCTTATTATCAATGGCTTCGGCATTTTCCAATAACAACGATAGAATCGACCTGCAACATGAAAAAATTGTCTAAAAAGAACTAATACCAAACGTCGTATGTTAGAAACACGTTTGAACTTATCCTCAGAATTATGGAAGCTAATTTTTAACATGCACCAGCAAAAATACAGTTTACTTCGCTCTCGTCAACAAAAAAATGACTACGGTTTCATCTTTGTGTGTGAACATGTCTTTGTTCGATCCAAGAAAGTGGTGCTGTTTTGCGTCCATGAACTGCAAGTGCTGAAATACCATGGAGCCGTGGCAGCCTGCATAAATGATATCTTTGGCTTTGAATATAACATAAATGATTTCTAGAAGGAAGGGTACGGCATGACTATGCCGCGCGAATCCAGAGAAGTAACAGGAAACTATAATTTCATGTCTATTCACAACTCATGTTTAGATAAAATTTTCAGCTTTTGCCAAGCATTATGCACATTTTTAACATTCTGCTATCACGATACATCGTCGAAAAGCTTAGTATAATCTGCCCTCTTAATGGTAAAGCAATATTGTTAATGAACGGCTCTGATGAAGGATTCCAAATCAAAAGTCGAAACGCTAGAATATAAGCAACTGGACTCACTGTCAATGATCTCCGCCTACTGCGAGTCACAAAAGCCTGACAGATTGGATTCTACAGGTGTCGATTAGGAATCAGACCCCCTCACCATTTGCTATGAAAACAAAGGTAAACTGAAACTCATTAACTCTGATCCCCAATGTATAACCCTAACACCATAAAATTTATCATTTTAAACCAAGCAAGATACATGTAGAATTGACACCTCAGCGAAACGCGTACACTAACACTTCGGAAGAACGATCCTCACAAACGCCCAGCGTTATCATCTGTCCATGCGTAGAAGGTTACACGTTACCTAACAATTACATCGGCGATTGGTTCCGAAAGATCGCTCAGTTGAAGACAAACTCGCCGAAGACTCTGTTGCAGTAGGCTGTGCGTGGCATTCGCAAATCCATGTATCACGTTTGCCAACTGAGTGGACAGCGGAATCAGGTGGGCTGACCACAAGCTTCGATTGGAGACGATGATTTTCAAGTCTTCGTTGCTCAGAGGCTAAATCCAAAAGACTGATCAGCAAACGCACCCCAAGAAATGTTAACAATACTACCGTCCGTACCTCTACGGTTTGTACTGGAAGTGGAAGCGGCAACAGCTCAACCAATGCATTCAAACCACCGACAAAGTTGTGACACGATTCCAAGGTAAAGTCCAGTAATTCGGCGACCATCGAAGTCCACAAACTACGGTTTGTCGCTGAAAAGTTTCACGACATGAAACAAACTATCTGTCATAAATATCAATTATTATCAAACATAACCTGACAAAATGCAAAAGAAATGGCAATATGTATGTACTTTAATATAAACGTTTAAGCGAACATGTCGTCTTCTAAGAAATTTATTTAAATGCAATGGAACGACAAAACCAATCTTTAGGCAACTCTGAACTAAACAAACTAGATGTAACAGAAAGAGATAACATGAAACGGATTTGAAACTTCCCGTACAATATGTAAAGAAATGCTCTGTGATCAGTGTACTGTGTTAGTGTTCAACTGTGTGAAGTTTCGATTCTGAATAGGATAAATTGTAAACATCCACAAAGTGGTACGTAAGAAAACACAAGAAGAATGAAGATCAACAATAGGTGGTCAAAGTGCAAACTGCAATCTTAGATTGTGAGGATTCTCAGCGCAAAAACTGGAAAGAAAATTTCTTAGGTATGTTTAATGGAACTGAATCATAGTCATCCTTGGACCTATTCTAAAAAAACACAAGAAGACTAAAGAAGTCTAAAACAAATGAAATCGTTTTTGAAGAAAAAAGAACAAAACCGCTATATTCAAATGAAAAATGTAAAAGTAACGGAATAAGTGCCGTTTAACAACGCGCGGCTTTGAAGTTGATGTTTTTTTCAATCTATTCAGTCGTTTTTGGCATTGTTTTAACCAGAATCAATCTTTAACCGATATCGCTAAAGATTTTTCAATTTTTATCACTCTGTATTTATACTCATGAGTACCACGCATTATAATAATTACGGTAATGTTACTGATTGTAAATCCCCCATGACTGCTTCGGTATCTGAAGCTGAAACATCAGAATAAAATATGCTTATGCTATAATGAAACAAAAGTCAGTGTTTGCTGGATTGTCTGAAAAGGAAAATAATTGATCAGCAACACGAAATAACATAAACAGTAAAAAACCATTGCACATATTTATGCATTACATAATAAACGTTTTACACACATGGCTGGTGAAATTATAAAGGGCAAGGTTAAACCGTAGTAGTAGCATTTTATTGGCGCACTCAATGCCAAAATTAAATGTAAATCAGTAAATACCTTCAAACGATTTTTCACTGAGATCTTTGACGCCCAGGTACGGCTGGGTAAATGAAAGCAACGTCGAGATGACTTCCTGCCGGACAACGGCGGTCTCGGCCAGAAAACCTTTCGGCGGTAGCATTGTACAACAGGTGGTAAACACTTTGAGCAAGGTTTTAACGGCTGTGGTATCAGCAAACTTAAACAGCCAAAGTCAAAAAACAAGTACATAAACGATGACGTCATCAAACAAGAGAACTGCAAATAGAGAAAAAACTTTTTAACCATGTACACCCACTCGCTTAAGAAACTTCAAATCTGATGTTAAGAACGAAAAATAATGCCATGTTACGAAGAGTAAAAAGGAGACGAATCGGGACTGAAGCTACGAAGAAATATAGGCTGCGGAACAAATGCCGCAGTGATCCCCGCCCCACCTCTTCCGCCTAATGTTTTCCTTACATAGTAATCAAAGAAGGTTCGAAATACCTAATATACCAATCAACACCGAATGCTTTCTTAAGTGGGCAGATGAGGGCCAGGAAAAAATATCAGTCATCGAATTACGCCTTCGACTGTAAGGAAAATTATGCATTTTAAGATCAACATAGCATGATAACAAACATGACCAAATGGAAAAAATCGAGTATTAGGACACAAATTGTACATCAAAATACGTTCGTATGCGAAAGCATGTTTTTGCACTAATAAGCGCCAACTTTCTGTTGTTGTAATTAATTGTTACAGTCCTTTCTTCCATTCCATCCATTCACTCCAATTTTTATATTTTAATCATTCGCCACCTTTCTTTCCTATTATGCTTTCCCATTTTGTAGTTAATTTCATCAGCAGTTACAAAATATCTCGCATTGGGTTCATTCGTATTTTCATTTTACACTTACATCGCTCCAAATTCTTTCGTCGGTTCATTCAGTGGCTTAATTCACCTTGCTCTTGATCCTACATGCACGTCTTTCCTCTCTTATCAACAGGACTCCCTGCCTTCGTTCCTAGGTATCATTGTCAGTCTTTCAATGAGCCAACTATTTCTGACAGTCATGACTTCCAGCAAAATTTTCCTCACCATGCCGTTATATTCTAAGCAACTTCTATATTTCCTTTGTGCCCATTTTCTCATTTCTTTATTCCTTTAAGTCTCTAAAAAATTTATTTTCCCTCCAGAAACTTTCCGCGCCTTTATTCCTTAACTTCTTCTTGTCCTTATTTCCAGATATTCGACCTTCACAAACTCTAACCGTCATCCTCAAAGACTTAATACTTATGTCTATTCAACTTTACTTTTCCTTTTCCTTCTTACCTTCTTGCCTCCCTAGGAAATTTCATTTCAATGTTCGTATTTCCTCTCCTTTTTCTCCGCTTTACCTGTAATCTGTTCTATCGTTCCCTAAATTAGTTTATGGAATTCACCTCTGCCTCAATTTGTTTTCCTTCCTTTCCTTTTATTCCGCTCGTCTGAATATCTTAATTCAATCACGCATTCCTCAAGGTTTAAATTCCTCCATTATACCCATATGCCTTCAAGTTCACCGTCCATTCAACCTGTCCGTTTCTTTCCGTTTACAATTCGGCCACTAACTCAATTTTTTTGTTCCATTTCCATTCATCACTTTTTTCTTTACATAGCTTGTTATTATTTTCCGTAATTTCAAATCACTGTACCAATTTCCATTTTAAACTTTAGTGAGCTCCTAATCTCTGTCTACTGTCCTCGTTTCAGCCTACGTTTTCAACCCCAACGGTTTCTTTTCTAATTCACTTATCAGACAGTGTTCCCCTCTATTTCAACTTCTTTTCCTCTTAACTCCTGTCACACCTTGTTCCACATTTCCTAAAGCTTCTATTCTTCTTTCAGTTACCAACTCCATTCTTACAGAAAAATAAAAATCGATCTTATGGGTTCAGTAGCATACTGGTAGTTTTTGATACCTCCGCTAGATATAAATTTTTATTATTCGATACCAGACTGAAAACGGCTTAAGCACCGTCCTTCTGCTTCTAGTGGCCTAGGAGTCTGCTTA